TTGTTCCTAGTAGTAAGGCCAGGAGCCTCTAGTAGCGAACTTGCTCCTAGTAGCGATGCCCTTTGTTCCTAGTAGCTTCTTGTTCTTATTAAAGAACAAAAACACAAAGCAAAGACGGTCTCTATGACGATTAAGGGGCAGTGATCTGCGAATAGCAATTTCGGAGAAAAGAAAGCATTGATTGCCAATTTCTTTCTCAAAGAAACCTTAATTTATCAGCAAACACATTATTGTCTTTCCTTCTCTTTTCACTATTTTTTTCAGCCCTTCTTGCTTCCTTTAGACCTTGCTTTCTTTTCGTCTTATTGTAGTCTTTCCTCTGTTTCCTTTGCAGAAGGTTGAACACAATCCTTCCAATCCACTCCTTTTCCTGTTACTAGCGATGGCCTCCAACCTACTAGCGATGGCCCACCCAAGTAGCGATGGCCTCCACTCAAGTAGCGATGGCCTCCAACCTAAGAGCGACGGCCTCCAACCTACTAGCGATGGCCTCCACCCAAGTGGCGATGGCCTCTACCCAAGTAGCGATGGCCTCCAACCTATTAGCGATGGCCTCCACCCAAGTAGCGATGGCCTCCGACCTACTAGCGATGGCTGGCCTCCACCCAAGTAGCGATGGCCTCCAACCTAGTAGCCGCTGGTCTCTTTCGTTTAAGGCAAACAACGCACTGAGACGACATCAAGGACCAATCTGCCGCTGAGTCGCTCTACAATGCTGCCGTTGACCCAATCTCCCACTGAGCTGCTAAAGACCAGAACTGGACTGCCAGGACTCAGATTCAAGCCTGCGAGTGCCAAAATTCGGTTGAGCATCCAAATGCATTGCATCATGATCGTAAGAACCCACGGCTAAAGCTTTAAAAATCACCAAAAGGAATATGGTGAACAAATGTGCACAGCAAAAACTATCATCGGAATATATCCACTCACGATTGCTCTTCGGGTGGAGGCCATCGCTATTGGGCAGATGGGTGTTCATCTTTCGCCTTGCCATCTTTCTTCTGGAGGGAGCGCCCCTCTTTGCCCTGGCATGGCCCTCTCGATGTTGATAATACTGGTATGAACGATGCCTCTGAAGCGTCATAGAAGCGTGGAAACCCAATTAGCAAGCAAATAGAAACTCTTTTGAGATCTCTTGAACGAAACAATGACTTAAATGAAGGCCAAATGACCAAATGAAGGCCCTCTTAACAACTTCAGATAAGGAAGCTTTGACTCTACGTAGTGACTACATATCATCAGTGTCTGTCCAACTTCCTGACCATGGCTGATGTTTGCATCATTGGAGTGTTTGTACAGCAATAAAACATACCAGGACTTCATTTTGAGCTGAGCTGTGGACTTCAAGTTTCAAAGAGAATCACTTTTCAAGTCATCATAGGCTTCGTATGTGCAAACTGCTGACCGTGCCTTGTTTTCCTATCTGCCAACGCAAAATGCCATCGGGGGAGGTTTGTGGGGCACAGGGTGAAACAGAGTGAAACTGACTTTAAAAAAGACTGAACTTGTGCTTCTGAAACTCTACAAAGGACCTCTTAAAACCGGAGGTCGGACTGTTTCGGATATCATGCAAACTGCCCACCATTTTGGGCCGTCTGGCCGTGGCGGTTGCATCAGAGTGTCCCAGTTGAGAAACACAACTCAGCGACTCAACAAAAGGTTCAGAACCTCGACTTGATCGTGCCCAAGTGATCCTGGAGGCTTATCTGGAGGTCCGAATAAGGGACTATGAGGTTCGGAAGTGATGAGATTCGGCGCGTGGCTTGGAGGTGCATGCAAAGGAAGCGGAGCTCGAGGAGCAAAGGGAGCTGAGGGAGGAGCTTGAGGAGGTCGAAGAGGAACGATGCTCCTCACCGTGGGGGGAGTGCTTCGCAGGCTTCCCACGTTCCGGGAGTGCCCATTGGGCGACGCATACAGCGCCGGCTTTGGGACCGGACTTTCCATCAGCAAACCCAGCGTCGTAGCGGTGCTCACCTGCTCTTCAGCAAAAGGTGGTGAACTTGCATAGCTGTCATTGACACAGTCATCACAAAGAATTCCTGGCATTCCTGGCATCCTTTCAGATGCTTCTGCTGAGCGAAGGGGCACAAAATTATATGGCGCTGGAAAGGAGAGCTGGCCATCGAATTCAACATCCAAGTAGCCTTGAAGCAACTTTCGGACATACGGGCTCTTGCGTGCTTCTGCCTGCAGTTCATCGTGAATCTGTTCCAATCTGCCGTCAGAAGCTTGCAAAAGCTCATGCACTGCAGCTTTAAACTTGTCCCGTGTTTGTTTCCTGGGACGATGTGCTGCTTTGTTTTTGTCCTTCTCCCAGTTTGGATGAGACAAATGACAATATCGACATCTTGCACCCTTGAGACAGCCACGGTTCGTGCTGAAAAAAACACATGGATCACAATTTCCATTCTCATGGCTCCCACGGTCACGAACATAGTCGAAGCGTCTCACACCAAGGGAAGAGACAGTGCTGGTGCCTCAAGGGCGGCGCTAAAGCGAACAGAAAGAAGCCGACAAAACTCGAAACGGAACAACGAAAGAACACGAGAAAACAACGAGACACATTTCTTTCTTTGGAAATCTTTTCTACTAGGTTGGAGGCCATCGCTATTGGGTTGGAGGCCATTGCCATATCTTTTTATGTTTGCCATGTCCCTACTTTGTTTGACACTTTCTTATTTAGACACTCTCTTTTCCTTTCGTAGGACCTTTTGTTCTTTCTTTTTCCTGCCCTGCATTTCTTGAAGAAAAATCGAGCGCACACACACACACACACACTTATAGAAATGCATACTGACTGGACAGCGGTGCCACACGCCAGCCTAGGTTACCACTTCCTAAGAGTACAGGTAAGAACCGCCGGACCTGGGGGTCTTCAAAAGGAGAAGGGGCCAAAACTCAAGACCGAAAACGGCGATCAGGTCGAAATGACGACGTACGCTCTTGTCTGCCAAGTGCATTAGCCCTTTACGGAAACTTAAAAATTGATGCAGGTACGTCAGCAAGCGTCCCTGCTGATATCAGCACAACCTGAAGAGCCTCTTTGTTAGATGCCCTCTCTTCAGGTGTGGGGCACCCCCCTGCCAAAAACAAAAAGGACAAACATCACAATCCAATTGGATCCCTGTGACTTCAAGGGGCACACACACATCCTCTGTAGGAAAAGGGCTCCACATATTATTGGTCTAGCATATTGCTAGGAGCAAGAAGCTACTAGGGGCTCCTGGCCATATTGCTAGGAGCAAGAAGCTACTAGGGGCTCCTGGCCTTACTGCTAGGAGCAAGGACGCTACTAGGGGCTCCTGGCCTTGGAGCAAGGACGGTACTAGGGGCTCCTGGCCTTACTACTAGGAGCAAGGACGCTACTAGGGGCTCCTGGCCTTATACCAGCAAGGACGCTACTAGGGGCTCCTGGCCTTGGAGCAAGGACGCTACTAGGGGCTCCTGGCCTTACTGCTGGGAGCAAAGACGCTACTAGGGGCTCCTGGCCATACTGCTAGGAGCAAGGACGCTACTAGGGGCTCCTGGCATTACTGGCCTTACTGCTAGGAGCAAGGACGCTACTAGGGGCTCCTGGCCGTACTGCTAGGAGCAAGGACGCTACTAGGGGCTCCTGGCCTCACTGCTAGGAGCAAGGACGCTACTAGGGGCTCCTGGCCTTACTGCTAGGAGCAAGGACGCTACTAGGGGCTCCTGGCCTTACTGCTAGGAGCAGGGACGCTACTAGTAACGCAGAAGAAAAAGAAGAAAGGAAAAGGATCAGGCGGAGGAGGCGGCGGCCCACCCAGTCCTGCCACAACTGAAAGAAGGTTCAGAGGCTATGGCCACAGATCTAAATGATCTCTTCAGAGGTGCCGAGAATTCTAATTAATAGCTTCTTGTTACTACTAGTAAGGCACTTGTTACTACTAGCGAGGCACTTGCAATTACTAGCAAAGGAATCTACTAGGACCATGAGTATGAGGCCATGCCACATTGGCCCTTTTGTGCGAAGATGAGAGTTCGTGAGATGGAACTTTTGTTCTTAATCGAGAGATGACAGCGTGTCATCAACTGCAAAAATCATCATGCTCGCAAAGAAAAGAAAGAGCCGAAAGAGAAATCCTTGCTTGCAGTGTAGTGTACTTAAACATTGTCCAAGGTTATTGATCTTCTGGGAAAGGTGCTCCGATGTCGAATTAAGACATGCTTCGAAGTGAAGTCTTGGTACCATTTCATTGTTCTGCATAGGCCTTCGTCGTTTGAACTATCTTAAACCTGTAGCTTGCCTACACAAATCGCAAACGAGAAGCCATCATCCAGCACTGTAGTGGCCACGAGTGCATCCCCTAGGCCGCTGACTTTTCCTTCTTGGATGTACTCATCAGCAAAGTTTGCAAAATCATCATCACTCTGCTCCATCAAATTTTCTTGAAGCACACAAAACCATCCAGAGGAGGCTCTGGACGATCCTTGGATGTGAAGCAAACTAAATCAACATGTGACATGTGTGTTGAGGCAGCACAAACACACTTTTGGCACACCTTCAAATTGTGGCAGAACCACATACCTTCTCTTACCCTTTGTTAGACCCCAGTTCATCGCTACTAGGGTGGAGGCCATCGCTATTAGTTTGGAGGCCATTGCTACGTGTAGCAAGAAGCTAGAGGGAGCAAAGGGCATCGCTACTAGGAGCAAGGACGCTACTAGGGGCTCCTGGCCTTACTACTAGGAACAAGAAGCTACTAGGGGCTCCTGGCATCGCTACTAGGAGCAGTAGGTTGAAGCCTTTTTCGGATGGGAACACAGGTGCTTCGGAGGCTCTTGAGGCTGGTGAAGAAGACCGGTCGTCCCGGTTGATGGTCATCGTTAGGTCAAGGACGCCTATTCCTTGACTTTAACGACACTCGAGACAAAAATACTGCGACCAGTGTGGCACACCTCATGTGACACACCTACTAGATTCCTAGTAGCGATGCCAGGAGCCCCTAGTAGCTTGCGTCCTTGCTCCTAGTAGCGATGCCCTTTGCTCCTACTAGCTTCTTGCTACACACCTCGTGTGACACACCTGGTTGGCAGAAATGACGGAAAAGAACAGAAAGGACGGAACAACGGAAGGACATAGTGTACTTCTTTGTCAGTTTCGAGCAGTGCGATGAAAACACATGAAAACCACAACACTTCCTCCTTGCTATCCTTGCTAAAGTCACAGAACCTGACAGAGTTGACGGGGCCATCTCAGGGCTTTCCTTTCTGGATTTTTCAGAGAAAAGAGCTACTAGTAGGAGCTTGAGAGGCCTTCAACCTAGTAGCCATGGCCAGAGGGATGGCCTCACCACACTATGCAGTTCCACGTATTCACAGCTGCTGCCATAGCGTTTCATGCGGCTTTTTGCTTCTGATCGCGCGGCCTGCGTTGTCAACAATCTTGATTCAGTGCGCCTAGCTTCAAATTGCAATGCACGACCTCATGCAGCACCAAAGTACAATCACTTGCACTCCTTGCACGGTGCCATGAATTTTGAATTTGCTCCTGAAACTCAGTCTAAGGAGTAGAGGCCAGCAAGGACCTCGCATCAATGCCCCTGCTATCTCCACTGTGAATGGGAAACAAATTCCAAGTCCAAGAATTGCAAGACAAATGAACCAATTCCACACCGAGTCAATCGTGGAATCAGGTGGTCAACCCAAAAAGGTGGTCAACTTAAGCTCTTTCCATGTTCAAGAAGAACTAGCTGTGAATCAAGAAGCCTTTCTGCTAGGAACAAAGGACACTACTAGGGGCTCCTGGCCGTACTATTAGGAGCAAGGACGCTACTAGGAACAAGTGCATCGCTACTAGGAACAAGTGCCTTACTACTAGTAACAAGAAGCTAGTAGTAACAAGTGCCTCGCTTCTAGTAGCAAGGACGCTTCTAGTAGCAAGGGCATCGATGGGCCATAGTCGTGGGTGCGAACCTTTCCTGTTCGGCCTTCCATTTCTCTGCGTGCCAGGAGCCCCTAGTGGCGTCCTTGCTCCTATTTTGCGCTCTTCTTAATAGCTATCAACGTCAGTGATGCGCTTTTCGCCGGTTTGGATTTTGGCATTTGTGGGAACCGTGGTCCTGAGCCAGTTTTGGACAGCTGATCTCACTCTAAATAGTTCTCAGAACTTTTGTGGTCAAACTGGGTTTTCACACTCGAATCGGGTGCTGTTTTTCTTCCACCAGGCATGTTATGGCAAAGCCGGAACCGGATGCGGAGCAAAGGCGGAGCAAATGGAGAGCAAAGGTACTAGCGATGGCCTCCAACCCAACCTGATAGCGATGGCCTCCAACCTAGTAGCAGGGGTGAATAAGCATAAAAAATGCGCATCGAGCGACCTTTCTTGCAAAGTCTTCAAGGTCACGCGGTGGAGAAGTTCGCAATCGTAAAACACCTCGGCAACACACTTGAAGTTTAGGCAGTCCCAAGAAGAGAGAGAGAGAGAGAGAAGGTGCAAAGAAAGAACATAAGAGTGCAAACAGTTATAAAATGTAGTATTTCTTATTTGTAGTAGCAAGGTCAACGAGCCATCTTCAAAGGGAAAAGGAAGAGATGTCTATATACAAAGCAAACAAAAAACAAACCAACAGTAATGAAAAGCATTCTTGCTTGTACCTGCAAAGAAAGGATCCAAAAAGAAAACAAACAAACGCGAATCGTGAGAAGCATTCTTGGTTGTAGTAGTAAGGGAAGACAAATCGCAGGTGTATAGAAAGATAATAAGTAAAGTCTTAAGTTCAAAAAGGAGCAGAAAGAAACACATAACGAATATGTAAACGATATTCACAGGTGCTAAAGGTAAAGACCTAAGCTAGCACTCTAGCGCTCTGGTTTCAATATGCAAGGGGTACTTAAAGGGATGGACAAATATGCAAAGTTTTCCATAATACACTCCATAAATGGTGACAAAGGCCATCAACATTACATCCGCGAATCCAAGCACACAAATTCCGCTAGTATTACAGGCAATAAGCTACTCAAGAAGTAGTTAAGTAGTTACCCCTTACTACTAGCTACTTGCCCTTATTGCGGCTTAACCCCCCTCCCGGGCCAACAAACAAAACAAGAGGAGCAAGACCAAAAAACAAAACAGAAGACAGGAACAACAATAAAAAGGAACACGAGTAACAAGAACGCATCTAGGGGCTCCTGGCATTGCTACTAGGCGCAAGGACGCTACTAGGGGCTCCTGGCCGTACTACTAGGAGCAAGTAGCTACTAGTAACAAGAACGCCGAAGTCTAGGGCCTTGAGACGTCCCAAGTAAATCGAGTACCAAAAGATAGGAACAGCAATAAAGAAGAACACTCTTAGCGTCCCACTAAGACCCAGGGCCTCAGACACCCGTTCCACGTCGCAGTTCAAATGGAGGCACAAGTGGCCAATCGCCTGAAGAAACGCAATGCCCGTCAACGCCCTACCAAAAAGAACAACCCAAAGAAGTAAACAAGCAAAACACAGAACAACCCAACGAACTAACTTGAAAGCATCCCTTGCCACTTTCAAGCGCATGTTCTAGATTGTAGAAGGATTCATCTTGTAAACGCCTCACCACAGGGCAAATGTTCGCTCCAACCTGCAGGAGTGCCAAATCCGTGCAGGGTCCTTTCTCCGAATCTCCAGTCCTGGGAAAAGGATTCTCCAAAGCGGAACCAAAAGCAAGTAGGAGCAAGGACGCTACTAGGGGCTCCTGGCCGTACTACTAGGAGCAAGTAGCTACTAGTAACAAGAAGCTACAAGGGGCTCCTGGCAGCGCTACTAGGAGCAAGGACGCTTCCAGAAGCGATGGCATCCAACCTACTTGCGATGGCCTCTAACCTAGAAGGGATGGCCTCCAAAAACAACTTCCTTCAATAAAGAGTTGCAGTTCTCTGTATGCAAAGTGAAAACTTTTGCAACAATTGAATGCCATTGTCATTCTGCTCAAACTGACTTGTGTCTTTTGCTCTTGAAAGCAAAGATTCATCTCCACACTGTTCAACATCGCAGCCTGCCAAAGCTCGCGCGTGCACAGGCAATCTAATTACAAACAAGAGCGCTACCAGGAATGCACGGCACTATCTGTCACTACTTCTCTTGCTTTAAACTGAAGGACATAAAGGAAACAAACAAGAAAAGCAAGGCAGAAAGACATGCTCCAAAGGTCTAAAGAAGGAGGATCAAAACACAAGAAAGGTCTAAAAAAGGACAAATGGAAGAAGAGGAAGAAGGGAAAAGGTTGGAGGCCATCGCTGTTAGGTTGGAGGGCATTGGGCCATTGCTGTTAGAAACAAATCAAGAAAACAAAACTATCTAAAGGCCTAAAGGTATCGGCCTAGTAGGGGGCGCTACTAGGGGCTCCTGGCCTTACTACTAGGAGCAAATAGCTACTA